CGATCCCACTGAATGCGCACGAGGGGGATATCTCGCTTCCGGAGCCGACAGACCTGTTGTACTAGACCGTCAGGTCCGTCGGCTCCGGAAGCGAGATATTCCCCTCGTGCGCATTCAGTGGGATCGCCACGGAGCTACCTGGGAGGAAGAGTCGGACATTCGCGCTCGTTTTCCAGATTTCCAGTTTTGATGTACATATTCTTTAGCTTATGTACATAGTTCATGTATAGTAGTCATGTTTTGAATTTCCGAGGACGGAAATTTTGTAAGGAGGGAGGATTGTAATAGCCCGATATTTTAATCTGTATAATTACGTCTAATTCCGATATAGTAACGTTATCGTTTATTATTTTCAGAATTAATTAAGTTCAGTCGGAATTACCGAAATCTATTTTCGACGTACCGTTTACGTTCGAAATAATTTTGGTAATTAAGTATTATGTTTAATTGGTTAATTAAACATAAATTGAGTGATTAATTAAAACTAATCACCACATTAAGCCCTAAAGACGTGAGAATTAGGGCATTTTTCTCCAAAAAATCAAGCATAGTACGTGACCTTTCTTAAGCATGAGGAAAGAGTTTTTATCCAATCAAATCAAGCAATTTGTCATATAAATGAGGTACTTAGTCATCACATGTTACATAAGGTTTAAGCAAGTGTATGAAGGGGGAGAAAGCCACGCCATCACCTCGTCATACCCATCTTTCTCTCTCGGCATGTATATAAGAGGTGTTAGAACCAAAATTTTCCCTCATTTTCCCTAAGGAGCGACCATCATCTTCAGCATATATATATATTCATCCTTTCAGTAGCTATTAAGTTCAATCAACTTCCTCTAATTCCCATAGTAATCGTACGGCAAAGGCAAGCAATACCGCACGGCGAGCGCAAGGCCATAAGCACGCTTTGATTCGATTTTTCCGTCGAGCGATTGTCAAGGTATTTTCCTCCTCATGTTAGAATCATGCTAGTAACTCTATTTCAGAGTTAATTGTTCGGGGAATTTTCAGGAATTTTTAAGAAAATCATGTTAAAGTCGTGCCTATATTCAATTAAGTTAATGACCGAGTTAAGTTAAATTTGGTCCAGCAAGTCATGAGCAATTTTGTTTCTTTCAGCTTCTAATTAGAGTATAATGTTCAGTTAAGGCAGGTCGGTCGAGGAAAGTTAGCCGTATGTTATGATTTGGCTTCCGGTGGTGGGTTGCGCCCCTCGCGCACGCCCACGGGCCTTTAGTAGCGAAATGATGTTATCTTTCAGTATAGTCCAATTACTCTGAACAGGTTAGGTTTATATGTTCATGTTAGTTCAATTTGTAGTCAGTTAAACCATATTGGTTGAAAGAATTTTCAGATTGGTCGAGGTATTGGCCAAGGGTCGTAGGCCTCGCACATAGCGAGTGCGCCACAGCCGAGGGGCTAGGGTTGTAAGTCAAGTTCAGCCGTTTCATGTTAGATTCAGTTTAAGGTTCATTTTAGGTCAGAACATGTTAGTAGAAGTCAGTTTGGTCGGATAGATTTGCCGGACGGTCGGAACAGAGCCGACTGTGGCGATGTCCCACATCGGTTGTTGAGGAGAACGAAGCATGCCATATAAGTGGCTGTGGACACCTCAACCTACAGGACGCGTTTTGGTGAGCTAGCTCCCAAAGGCAAAACCGTGAGGGAATGATCTGGTGTATACCCAAAGCGGACAATATTCTGTAGCAGGTGAGCTGGGCTGTTACAGTGGTATCAGAGCCAGTACCCGGACTGGTGTGCCAGCGGGGACGCTGGGCCCTCCAAGGGGGGTGGAGTCTAGTAAAAGAGGTCCCACATCGGTTGTTGAGGAGAACGAAGCATGCCATATAAGTGGCTGTGGACACCTCAACCTACAGGACGCGTTTTGGTGAGCTAGCTCCCAAAGGCAAAACCGTGAGGGAATGATCTGGTGTATACCCAAAGCGGACAATATTCTGTAGCAGGTGAGTTGGGCTGTTACACCTTGTGGCTTTGATAAAGTAAGCCTGCTCCATTTCACCCACGTAAGTTTTTGTTCACCTTCACGGGACCCCCACCAAAATTGGGCGACTATTTTCTTCACTTGGTCGCACATCAGCTTTGGGATCCGAAATAGGCTCATGATATAAGTAGGGATAGATTGCACCACTGCTTTGATTAAGATTTCATGCCCCGCCGACGAAAAAAAATTACGCCGCCAAGAGTGGAGTCGCTTCCAAATTTTCTCCCGAATAGTCGCAAAAATTAGACTTTTGTTTCTGCCAATCAGGGATGGGAGACCCAAATAAGTATTGTGAGAAGAAGGAGCATGGATTCCCAAAGTCAAACATAAGGCTCGACGCACATCCGACGGTGTATTGGGGGTAAAAGAAATTGCCGTTTTCTCTAAGTTGACCTTTTGACCCGAAGCCGCTTCATAGAGTCTCAATATGTGGACAATGGTTGATAACTCACCTGAATTAGCTTTTGAAAAAATGATTGAATCGTCCGCGAATAAGAGATGAGATATTGATGGTCCGAATCTGCTACACTTGAAACCCGTGAGAGATTTTCCCATTTCAGCTTTGTTAAGTGCCGCCGATAACCCTTCTGCGCAAAGGATGAAAAGATATGGAGATAATGAACATCCTTGTCGAAGGCCGCGAGATGGCCTGACATTTCCCACAAGTCGCCCATTTATTCGAAACGTCAAGTTCGAAGTCGAAATGCATTGCCAAATCAGTCGACGGAATCGGGGAGGAAACCCCTTTTTCAACAACATTGAAGCAACAAAATCCCATTCAACTCGATCATACGCTTTACTCATATCTAATTTAAAGGCCAGCCAGTGAGAGTTTCCTTTGCGTTTTTTCGACATGGAGTGAAGAGTTTCGAAAGCAAGGATTGCATTGTCTGTTATGAGCCTATTAGGAACAAAAGCGCTTTGATTCACTGAGATAAGAGGGCCGATGACTTTTTTCAACCTAGCCCCCACTGCTTTCGAAATAATTTTATAAAGAACCGTACATAAGCTTATGGGCCGAAAATCTGTAATCATATCTGGATTTTTCTTCTTCGGGATCAAAACGATAATTGTGTCATTAAACCCTCAAACGAACCTCCATGATTGAGAACTTTAAGACAGGCTGAAAGAAGATCCGGCTTCAGGAGCTCCCAATGAGTTTGATAAAAAATAGCGTGGAAACCATCGATTCCTGGAGCTTTATATGGGCCAATACTCATTAATGCGGCATGGACTTCTTCCTTAGTGTATGGTGCATCTAACATGGAAGCCTCTTCAGCAGAAATGCACCCTCCCACACTATCAGTCAACTCTGATATTTGCTCTGAAGTTGGCCTTGAGCTGGAGAAGAGATTTTCAAAAAAAGTGGAGACATGCTTACCAAGCTGGTGCTCACATATCAACTCTCCCTGATCGTTTCTAAGCTTGTCGATACGGTTGGCTCTCTGTCTAGCTTTTGCGCGAGAATGAAAAAATCTCTTATTCCGATCCCCCTCCTTGAGCCAATCTATACGAGCTCTTTGTTTCCAGAAACTCTCTTCGCGGCAATGAAGCCTCTGAACCTCTGATTCTAGAATTTTGATTTCGTCCATGAGGTTTGGTGACTCAGGAGATTCAAGGAGTTGTTGAAGCTGCTTTTCTTTTTTATGGAGAATATCCTTCCACCCGGAGAAAGCTTTTCTACTCCAAGTCTGCAACCGTTGTTGACAATCCAATAATTTCGATTTGAATTGAGAAATATTCACTCTGCTTCCTTGCAAAGGCTGCTCACGCGACCAACCCTCTTTGATCACATCAAAGTAATGATTCTCTTTTAGCCAAAACGGTTCAAACCTGAACTGGCGGGATTTAGTAAAAGTATGATACCTCTGTCTAGCCCCCATATGGATAATAATAGGACGGTGGTCGGATGATGAATATGGAAGGTGCTCTATCCGTGAATCTGGAAACAAATTCAACCATTCTTCCGACCCCAAAAACCTGTCTAAGCGCGCTTGAATATTATCAGAGCCCTTTCGCTTATTGTTCCACGTGAAAGTATGCCCGTTAAAAGAGATATTATGAAGATGGTGTTAGAGTAGTATACCCGGCGTTCCAATCTGATTGGACGTATTCTACTTGTAAATACAATCTATTGGAATTATATTAATTAAAAGGCATTACTTTATCTTAAGAGTAAGCATTTATCATATAATTGCACTTAAGATAAAATCCCTAGATAACATCTGACTCTACTACAGAGGCTGAATATATTGTTGCATCTGATGCTGCAAGATCTAGGGATTTTATCTTAAGTGCAATTATATGATAAATGCTTACTCTTAAGATAAAGTAATGCCTTTTAATTAATATAATTCCAATAGATTGTATTTACAAGTAGAATACGTCCAATCAGATTGGAACGCCGGGTATACTACTCTAACAATCGCCCACTTGCCCTAGTTCCAATTGTTCATGTATCTTAGGCCAATCTTCTCAAGATGCCCCTCGAACCTGTGATAAGGGCTTAGTCAAGGGGTCTGCTATATTTTCTACTGAGTCGACTCGCTCCATCACGACGTCGCCTCTACCAATGATCTCTCTTATCAAATGGTATCGTCTCATAATGTGCTTGGATCTTTGATGAGATCTTGGCTCCTTTGCTTGCGCAATAGCCCCATTGTTATCACAATAAATCGTTATTGGATTAACAACGGATGGTACTACACCCAACCCTTGGATAAAGTTCCTTATATCAACCTTCCATCTATCCGACCACAACAACATAAGACCGCCACTAAGTCCTGAACAGTCCACCACAAAATTACCAGTAAAAAAAAGTAGTTACGAATATTTGCTGCCCTCACTCCTTACAATCTAGTCTCCGACAGAAAGACTAGATCGGGGGAAAACTTACAGACTATATTCTGTAGTGATCTCAACGTGCGAGGATTCTCCAGCCCCCGCACGTTCCAACATAGACAACTCATTGCGATTGGCGCCTCTGCTCCGCAGAGGTCGCCGCTTCAAGATCGGAATAACAGTTATCCAGCATTCTTTTGTCATCCCCTATCTTGGCCCGTTTACTAGTGCCACCAATTGGAGAGTCTAACATTTTTGGAATCATTTTTCTTTTCCACCTTTTCTGTTGACTGCCCTTAAGTTTATTATTCGAAAGAGACTGCGATGCAATGGTGTCGACCGTGGGCTGAGCCATATCCGAGTTCTTTGCTCCTCTAAGACCCTCATACTGTCCAGTAAGAATTATGTCATTAATCTGTTGGTCATTGATCTGTTTCTCCTGCCTACTGGAAGAATTACGAAAATCCTGACTATTCTCGGATTCTTTGCCCTTTTCTGGATATGCGTCGGTTGGACAGAAATGTTGTTCGCCATCACCTTTGCTAACACTAGGATCACTTGAGTGTTGGGGACTATCTGCTTTTGATGAAAATGAATTTGTCCTCCCTTGCCTTTTTCGAACCATGAGAGGAATGGCGCGCAACCAGTCTCCATACTTACGGGTGGATTCATAGGAATGACCCTCGGACCTTGTTGGACATTCGCACATTCTGTGCCCAATTAAGCCACAAATGAAGCAAAAATCCGGGAGCTTCTCGTATTGGACAGGTATAGTGAATTCTTCCTTCATAGCCTCCAGATAAACTCGAAGACCCCGTCGAAGTGGCTTGGAAATATCAATTTTAACTTTGACTCTTGGCATGATACCCTCGCAATCAACATCAATAACCTCTCCCAATTGTTGTCCCACTAGACGAACACAGTGATCAGTGTGACAAACCAACAGGAGATTAATGAGCTGCACCCAGAATGGAACAATATGGAAATCCATGGCACTAATAGCCCCAGCCCCTTTCGGTTTTATCAACGAGATTACTTGTTTATTAAACAACCAAGGCCCACCATTAAAGACAAAATTACGATCCTCTTCCGACCCAAAGTGGAACCAGAAGATGTTATTAATCCCTTTAGATTCGATCTGGAATGAAGACTTCGTCTTCCAAATGGTCCGAAGAACTGATTCAAGCCCCTCCTTGTTAGAATTTTTACACCCTATTACCTTCCCCACCAAACTCGTTGCTAATTTTGCTAGCCCGACGGCCGAGTCTTGTTGTGCCACGGGAATAGGGGGTTCTTCCAAATCCAGCCGCAACCTATCACATAATTTGGAAATTTCCTCTGAATCCATAAGGCCACACCGACGACCCTTTCTCTGACCTAAGGAGTTAGGAAAAAGGCCGAGCAGATGCAATCGAGAAACTCCACTGTTCTGCAATAACCCTAAAATTCAGCAGGAACCCCAAATGTGAGATAAAAGAGAGAACCTAGTTTGATAACTAGGAAATTGCCAAGCCGAAACCCTGGAAGGAAGTGGATGAAACCACCACCAGACCGACCTAGCCGGAAAATCAGACAATAAGCTGAAAAAACCCAAATCGCTCTTACTGGAGAAAGAAAGGGAGTTCTAAGCGTGGGACTTTTGGTCTTGAGGAGTTCACTCTCAATAATTTTTTCTCGTGTCCCAGTCTTTGAGAATTAGATTGAAAGAAATTGTGGTTAATTTTGTTTAGCCATGAGCTTATAAAGCATAAGTGGGAGATTGTTAGAGGTATGCTGTAAAAGCTGTGTTTTGCAGTTTCTATCAATTCCATTTTGATCTGGCAATCATGTTTCGGTAAAAGTACATATGTTTGCAGTTTATTTATTTATGCAATACATACTCCATGTATTATATTGAGATAGTGTGGTTCGAAGAGTTTCGAACGGAAAGATCACCTATCGGTTCCTTATAAGACTAAACCATTTGTTCACAGTCTAGACTGGCAGTGAGACCCCACTTGGAAAAAGACTGTAGTGTATTCCCGATTCAGTTGGACTTTGACTGAAGGATTACACTAGCACTTATGTTAAGTGTTGAACAGGACCGCGGAAGGCAAAGGTTATGAGACTCACTGACCGTTGTTGTAACCTCGCCCTTCAGTGATTAATGCGTTCTCTTAAGCTGTAATATAATATAAAATAGACATATATTTTTATCTCTTATTTATTTGATTTACCAAGTGATTCCTATTCCGTTAGGATGATATACGAGGTATTTTGGTAAGTAAGAATAATTATATGATGTGCTATTATAGATTATTTACAGTCACTATGTTCCAGTGCGCTGGATTGATGACGTCCCCGAAATGAGCTCAGAAAGGAACCTTATGTTAAACCCTGCAGGTAGACGATTGTCTGACATAATGGTTAAAGGCTGAGTGGTACTAATTTCGGAAATGAATAAGAGGTTGATTAATTATTTTGTCATTAATTTAATTAATCAACGGACGTTATATCTTAAACATAGGGAGGTAAATCGATCAATCAGATTAATATTATTTAATCATGGAGGCTCGATTTTATTGGTAAAATAGTGGCTAAATGGGGAGAGCAATAATATTACTTGTTGTCAAATGAAAATTAACAACGATCTTATTGATAAAGGGTTTGTAATAAACTCAAGATAAATCAACAGAAGCGTGTTTATTGAAAAGCAGATGGAATTTCTCTGTAAATCTTATTATTGTTCGTGTGTCTCTGGAGAATCGTTTTTTCTCCTTTTATATTTATGTACAATATTTATCCGTATAGCAATCATTACATTTGAAAGGTCAAAGGCGGTTCCTAGCCACTCCTCTTGATAGCTCGCCACTTGGACAAACGTAATGATGATTTATGCTGAGTTGTCGCCGCCTTACAGTGCTGAGATGGCACATTATAGATATCGATTCATCCAGTTATAACCGATATGTTGTATCCGACATGTAGCGACCGACATGTGATGACCGACATGAGGTTTCGGTCAAGTAATGGAGATGTCGGTTCTTGCTGAATCTCTCGTCATGCAGTCGTCTTGAAGTTGGTGGAAACATCACGTACTTGCATGAATTTTAATTATCCTCATACTGACCTTAATCGGCTGATCAATGTCACTTAATTTGGTTTACTGAAAATGATATCAACAAGGTGGCCCCCAGCATTAATGGTCGTCTGGACGGAAGACGGGCAGTGATGCTGAAACTTTAGCAGGACATAACTAAATTCTCGGATTAACATGACATGTAGGTTTCATCATTATTCCTCCGACATCTCTACACTTGGTGGAAATAACACTCAAAGATTGAAAGGATGCACTTTATTGAAATTAATTGCACCGTTTATTAATAGAGGTAACGGTCACTTAAAATAGGCCACGTTGCTGTTATTAAGAGGTACGATTTCCAAGAGTCGCGTCGACTCACAGATCCAGAACGTGCAACCCACGCGCCCCTATTTCCGTCGGTTTCCAACGGTCGCTTTTGAATCCAGGGTTTAGTATAAATAGGAATTCTTCTTTTGAGATCTACTTTACTTTCATCTTCTTTTTGCACTCATCTTTTCTGCTTTCTTCGCAAATTAATCGCTTTTCAATCGTACTCAAAGCATTCCAGATCCGCGAACTGTTTCCTGTGGTAAGAATCTCTCATCGTATTTTGTTTATTTACCCCGACTTTTCTTTCTTTTTCTCGACATCATGAGCGTATCTTGGGCGTCTTCGGGTGACGACGAGTTGGACGTGATGATGATTAACATGGTCCACTCTGGGGAGTTGGAGTTGTTGTCCAAGTATAATCGATGGGACCCGGTGTTTGTTGAACGATTGAAGATTCGGCTAAACGACAGCGAGGGGGATAAAGTCGTAGAGAAGAACGCCATCAACGACTCAAGATTTTGGAGGCGACCTATTAGGAGATGGCCGAATCCTGAAATTACATCCCATGGCGAACCCAGTATTCTTACTGACGCCGACGTCGTTATGTTACAGGGCGAAATTCGAGTCCCTACGTCGGTACATCTGTTTGCTCCATACCCAGGTGAGAGGATCACATGCCCTCCACCCAATTGCGTCGGCGTATTTGCTGAGAGCCTAAGATCAGGCTTGCGATTCTCTTTGCCACGCATAATCACTGAATACTTGCGGGATTGGGAGTTTCCGATATGCCAAATCGCTCCAAATTCTTGGAAACGAATTATCGGGCTGCTGGTACTTTTCGCCGAAAAAAAGTGGGATCTGCCGTCGGCGAAGGACATGAGGAGCATGTTCACATTTCGGAAGAGTCCAGATGGACAAGTGTCGGACCCACTTCTCACCTTTTCCATTGTCGGTAAACCGCAGCCAAGAGTTAAGGTCGGCGAATTAATAATGGAGGTCCCCGACACTTTACATGGCTTCCAAGAGGAGTGGTTGTGGGTCGGTGGAGATTGGCAGTGCCCCGACTTCGCTAATGATCTTCTTGCCGACGGGACAAGCATCCCAATGGCCATTAAATCTGGTTATTGTAAGTTGTTTCCGTTTTCTTCACTTCAGTTATTAATACTTTGTTTTTTGTTGTCGCTAACAGGTGGACTTTTGTGACCTTGTAGCAAAACCAACTGGGAAGAGAGAGCCCAAGTTCGAAGGTTTACTATACGATCGAGTGGATAAGTTGTTTGAAGTATCTCATAACAAACGACGATATCAGCGACTTGTGAAAGATTCTCATTTAGAGTTGGCTGGACTGTCTCCCGGGGTACTTGATTCTTCATTTTTACCAGGTAGTCTTTTTCACGACTTTGTTTATCTCGTAACATTATTTGTGTTAACGAAATCGGTCTAACTTTGAATTTGCTGTAACAGTTTATTATCCATTGCTGGGATACTTCGGTTTCGGAGATCCCGCAGAAGCAGAAGAGCATCGGAGACGTAATCCGAACTTAGACTTAAAGAACAAAGTCGGGAAAAATAAAAATCTTCGATCAACTGAAATGGCAGGACGCATGAACCTTCTGAAATCATGGAAGAAGAACCCGAACCGTTCCCAAAGCGCCGTTGGTGATCCATCATCCACAAGAGTGGAACCAACACCGGCGGTACCAACACCGACGGTCATCAATGAGGTGGCGGTTACCGAGGTCCCACCACTAGAGGTTGCTCCACTCCAACAAGTAATGACGTCGGTGGAGGAGCTTAGCGTGGAGACCGATATCACGCGGGAGGCATCGGAAGAGCCGCTTCTTAACATGGTGCAGCGGCGTAAAAGATCCAGTGTGTCACATGTAGCCGAAAGAATGAAGAAAAAACCAAACACCAGTAGTGGTAAGGATAAGGAGGAGGAAGAGCCTGAAATTATCTTGAGGGACTCGTTCCTTAAGATTAATGAAAAGAAAGCAGCGGAGCTGACGTTGCCGGAAGGGGTGTTTGACCCTTGGTTTCCGATGTTTCAGACAGTCATCGAGCCAAAAATCACAAACAACCAACGGTTCCCCGATGAAGCGGTTAAGGCAGCAAGGGTTCCACTGATGTCGTGGGACCCAAAGACTCATGCGGGGATCGCATCCTTGCTAGATGACCAGAAATTTAGTTATGCCCGAGGTTGCTTGGGACGGGCACTTGTTAGCTTCATAGCAGCCGAGGAAAGTTATCGGGGCCGAGTTCATGAGCTCGATGAGAAGCAGCACGAGCTAAGTTTGAAGGAAGGTGCAATTTCTTCCTTAGAGGACGAGAAGTCTCGCTATGAAGTGTTGATGTCGGAAAAAGATGCTCAGCTGCAGGCAGCACAAACCGAGGTGGGCACACTTAAAACTGAGAGAGAGAATCTTCTGCTGGCCCATGACCTCTTGTCGGTTTAGTTGGCCAAAGTTGCCGAGGTCGCAAAGGAGAAAGACGAGCAGCTGACAAGGTTAAAGGCTGAGCTTCAAGCTGTCCGCAAGGATCGATCCGATAAGGATGCTGAGCTGATCCGAAGTCGCGAAGCTCATGAGGTGGCCATGAACGAGCTCCGTCAAGAGATGACAGCTGCCGCCGACCTCAAGTTCCAAGAAGGCGTTGATGCCGGTAAAAAGGCGGTGGCTGAATCTGACAAAGCAGTGAGTGCAGATGCGGTGACCGAGTGGGATCTGGAGCTGAATGCCGCACTAACGGTACGCTGGGTAATTGATAGAGTGGAGAACGGTATCTACAGCATTGATGAACTGCGTATTTTTCTTCTGCACAAGATGGAGAAATATCGCCTCAACCCTGAGATCAAAAATGCTCATATTCCGGCGGATCAAGATGAGCGAGATTTCGCCGACCGACTCCTAAAGCAGAAGGAGAGCCGGATGCTGGAATTAGACATGGTGCCGCTATCG